TCATAACTCCGAAATTCAAGAGCATGGCCACGTGATCATCATTTGTAAGATCAATCGCCTCGGACATAGCTGCTGATTTGACAATGCACTGGAAACCGATTATTAATTACGAGGTTATTCAAAAAAGTTTCAAATATTCAATTTTCTCAGGTATTAACGGTGATGGTAAATCACTCAAGGAGTCGAATGAAACTACTGGCTGGTCGCTATCAATAAATTTCAGAGTTGAGAAAGGCCAAAAATTTTAAATCTCAAAAAATGGATTAACCATTATTGATGGATAAGAATACCTTCCAGATGACCTCTCGGGCCTATATCAATGATGAATAACTTGAGAATTCTCAGGAGACAAAAACGGCGGGTTTCTGTCAAGAATCATTTTTTGGCCACACGGGCACGAGGTGGAAGGGAAATCTTACTTTCCGCCTACTTTCACGAAAAATATACTGTTAAACATATGTGAGATAGAATGAAGGACCTTCACCCACGTGCTTATCACCATCGCCTAGATTAGAAATATCTTTTGGTTTGCAAGAAATTACATAAAATTAATTGCTTTTATAATACCCCCTCCCCCCGGGGAGGGGGGGGGGGGGTTATGAGAAAGTAAAAATGGGATATTTCGGCGTTGGAAAACTATTGAATTGCTTTTTCTATCTTATTAAATGTAAAACAGTCGGCAAAAAGTCTACATAATTTTGTTGGAAAATTGTGATTTAATACAAAATATCCTAAGCTCTAGTCTGGACCCAATTACTCTAATTGAGCATGAGCAGAGAAACAACTAATGGAACTTGGAAATGAACAATGTATCAATTCATTATATACTAAATTGTGGTGAACAAATTTCAAACTTACTCTCATAATATCATCGTAAGACAACGGCATTTGAATGAGGGGGAATTCACGTACGACTGCCAATCTTCCAAGGAGCTGGGCGTGGATGGTCGCCATCCCGGCGTTCTCACCGATGGCAATGCGGACCTCGTGGATTAGGATTTGATAGAGATCTTCAGCATCGTCGTTCAGGAGAACCCAACCCAGTAAAAAAGCCTTGGGGGAGCGAATATACGTATAAATATAAATATTGATATACCCATTCAGAAAAGTAATCAAAGGCCTTACGGTGTGGATGACAGGAGCAACTCCAGAATAGCTCAATCCGGTTAGTACTGACATCATGGTTAATTTTTTCGAATAATACTGTTGTAAGTCACAAGCCTAGAGTGGCGCAGAAGAAGACGGTACGATATGAAGCGTGAGAATGAGGAGCAAGGCAAACAATTAATGACGATAGAGGCAATAAGAGTATTAACCAATCACTTGAATGTTGGGTTCGTTCAGTTAGCTCGCGGTTTTCGGACCCAGCGACATAAAATATCGTAGATCATTCCGTCCACAAAGTACAACATTTATGTAATAATTAAAAATAATTAATAATCGTCAATAATTACAACTAATTAATATAAACTCACATTTGCCAGAAAATACTTTGTGGGCCTGATGATTTAATGTACTATTGCGTACGAGAATGAACATGTAAAGCGTATAGGAATACAAGATGATTACCCAGGGAAGGAAAAATTGATTATTTCAGCGCATATATGTCACAGTGCAGGCTACCTTCGATGTCATGGAATGGAAATAGAAATAAAATGAATGAAAACAGAAATAACAATAATATATTTGCAACGGGACAGTATATGGTCAGGCGGGTAGCGTATATATGGCTCCAATGGACGTTCAAGCTGATAAGCAGCGTTTAGTTTATCCAGTACTACGAGGTAAAATAACGTATTATTTCGTGTTAAAATAACGTATTACCTTATAAGTGCTCTTTAATGGTATTGGCCCAAAATTTTCATCTATTTTATAGTTTTCTCCGATGGAACAATGTGTTACATTCCAAAGAGTAAAATAACATATACGTTATTTCTACGATATATCCGTTATTTATACTATATATATGAATCATCATATGTCCTCTCATGAGGAATAGGGGAGGGTGAGGCAAGACGGACACACGGGGTAAAATGGACACCTATAAAAAATTGTTTCATTTTTAATTTTTAAAATTTTCATATGTTTCAACAAACACCAACAGATGAATGAGATATTTGGCAATTAGTGAATTGATAGGCAAAAACCCAAATAACGCAAAGAACTCGCTAATGATTAAGTGCATCCGCGAATGGGGTTGAAGATGTCTATTTGGGTTGTCTTTCAACTGTATTCTTTATACTAAATTTATTACATTGTTAATCAATTTAAAAAATTGATGTTTTTTGAGCCATGAATATTACATTTACTCTGATAATAATTAAATAATTTTCACCAACGCATTTGTTACTTCAGATAGTCCCTCTATAGTCCGAGAAAGACATTCCATGACATTCCATGGTGTTAATTGCCAGTACACCAGTTTAAATGAAAAGACGTCCGTTTTAACCCACTCTCCCTGAACTCACCCTTTGTAATTCACTGTTTCCCTCCCCGCCGTCTCCCTTTTCGACGCCCAAGCAATGGAATTACTTCTGGATTATCGCGCACCCCTTTACCCCTCTCTAACGATTGATAAAAATTCTATTTATTTCTTTTCTGTTTGGTCGAAATTCTCAGAATCAGTTTCTCCAAAAAAAACTAGAGCGAAGACAAACACATAGACCACGCCCACGGAATCATGTGGAGGGAACACAGCATGCAGCAGATACGAGTAAAAAGGCGGTTGAAATAAAATGGACACTTTCGACTTTCTGTCTGATTACAATAAATAAACTAAATCAAATCGTTTCTTCATCTTTTCCCCAATTTTGAGTCATCTTCACCTCGATTTTCCCTCCCCCACTCTGTCATATAAATCAGGGTTAAAACAAGCAGGGGTTCGAGCCTGTCCGGCAGAAAGCATGCGACAATTACTTTTTGTCTTATTAATCTTTTTCTTTCTTATATTTCCACCAATTCCATTGGTAGTGAGCTTCCGAATGGATCCGTATCAATTTCCTATTCCTAAAACAGGCATACATACACAACGACATTCATTCCGTTTTTACAAAACCATCACACCTTTGCCTTTAATTACACTGCGTAATCTGCCATAGGTATTGGTTTATTGTGGTATTTTACTCACCCCCATCATAATTTTCGAACTGCATTGATGAATAACTCATTATTTGAAAGTCGTAAACCGTCGAAAGAAAATTCTATCTAAAATGAATTTATGCAAAAAATTGAATATCTCCAAAACCACTCGACCGATTGCGCCATACAAAATAACAACCTTCAGTATCGTAAGAGCTATAACTATACCAAATTTTAACTTGCTATCCCCATTTTTTCTCAAGTTATTGGGTCTTCAAGACTAAACAAGTTGATATCTCGATTTTTGCAAAGGGTAGAGTATAAGCTTTTTATGAAAAACGGAAAAATCTAAATATCTCGAAAACTCTGGATAAATGGGCATACGTATTTTGATTGATTCGGATAGAAGACATTGAGACGAACATTTTGAAAAAAAAAATTGAAATCGATTGAATATTTTTTGAGATATTATATAAAACACATTTAAACACAAAATTGAATATCTCAGAAACTAATTAACCGATGTAGCTCATATTCAATAACGGTCGTTACGATAATAAGAGATAACTTCATACCAATTTTCAAGTTGATATCTCGATTTTTGCGAGGGATAGAGTGCGTACAAACTTTTTTTTTTTATGAAAAACGGAAAAATCGAAATATCTCGAAAACATTGTATGAATGGGTAAACATATTTTGATTGACTTGGATAGAGGACATCAAGACGAACATTTAAAAAAAAATATAGAAATTGGTCCAATAGTTTTAGAGATTTTCGCGAAAAACGATAAAAATACAAATTGCTCTCTCAAAAAACAAATGGACCGATCGGGCTGAAATTTGGCACAAAGGTACTCCAATTCAATACCAAATATCTGACAAAAATTTCAAATTTCTTGTAACTGTTTTAGCCCTCTATTCGTTTAATTTACGAAAAAATGACCACGAGATGACCGTGAGCAGAGACACACACGGTGTCCAAACTTCGTATTTTTACGTTTCAGACCAATCTACATCATTTCCAAGCAAAATTAGAAAATGTGAAAATCTAATGATTTCAAAGCTTCCATTCGGAAGCAAAATGCAAAACTTACACTGGTGTAACCGATCAGTTCCATCATCCAATCGTACTGAATTTATCGACTTTTCATCTCAACGTCTTATGGCATTCTTGATCGGTCTTTTTTTTCTGATGATTATTCCGTCGAAAATTGCGCAGACGGACCTCCTCTCTTGCCCACTAAATAATCAATTCCCTTATTTCCCTATGAAATACGTCTCCAGATATTTTCGATTTGGCTGATTAATTATTTCTAAATGACATTCTCCAAGTGATAAAAATGAAAATACATACGTGTTGCCATCACGAGTGAATTCTCGAATATAGCTGTAATCGTTTACTTCAATCCGGTCGCGGTCGGCCCTGATGTAAACCAGCCACTGTCGATTCCTTCTGATGGCCATTCTATTCTGTCGTTCTATTGTTATCAATTTTTTCACATCACTACGTTATATTTGAATTAAAGTAAAGCATGTGGAAGAAACCTGATGCAGTCGTCACGCCGGTTGCCGACACGGTGAACGCTTAATCACGAAAACGATTCCATCGTCCCTTCAGCGGCTCACCATTTACCCCCTCTCCTACCCCAACTCCCTCATCTATGGTTGAATTGAGGAGATTGTAGCCCTCAAATTTACCCCCACTTTTACCAATCCCCACTACAATTCTTGTCTCGTACCATCGTACTGATAAAAGAGTAGTTTTGAGCTCCTATCTCCCCACCATTGTGATATACTGGGGTTATATGGGATCCGAAAACTAAAATCTCGTCAGTATGATAGTATATGTTTGGTGCGATTATACCGATATACTTTCATCAACGTTACCAACAGATCACTGTAAGTGAATATGAGAATTCATCATGCCGGTCATTCCGAGGAAAAAACATCTTAAATATCCTAAAATATTACATCTCCTGACTAAGCATGTCTTTACCTACAAATCAGGGTGGCGTACAAGTATTAGGTAAATATCAAGATGACAATCTCCGGATCTCTCTTATTTTCAAATTCCGCCATCTCCTATAGATCTTTCTCCTGGAAAAAGATCCCCGTAAAAATTGTCCTATCGCTATTAGATTCCGAGAAATATCTAGAAACCCGATCTGTCCCCAGTAATATAAACTGAATCCATTTTACCACTTTATCAATAAATCTAACCAGTAATTATCACCATAATTACAGCTCATTGCACAAATCTCAATTGAAATTCTCATAGACAACGTTATTGTTATTCTCATCATTTCAATTACAGATACCCTTCTTGATTTACTCTCGAATTTCTTTTGTTGCAGTTACTACGAATGCATAAAAAAGAACTCTGACCATTGCAAAGTGCGAGGTAAATTGGTCAATGGCGAGGAGTTCATTGTGATCGAAGGAGCTGTCCATCGTCACACCCCAGACGAACAGTATTTACACGTTGAAGCATTCAACGACGAATTACATCAAAGAGTGACGAATTCATTAGCAGATTTTCGGCTGATTTATGATGATTTAGCTAGCGAGTAAGTGTTTCGTTCAGTGGTGACAATTCAGTGGTGACAGTGGAAAAATTAAAGTATGTATATTCTCTTATTCTCATCTCCTCTCAGGATTTCGCCTCATATGTCATCTACAACCCGTTAAAGTAGCTCTACCCTTACGGTAAATTAAAAGATTATAGAAAACTGCAAAAAAATTCCAGACATTCGATTACATTCGGAATCGTAATTTTTTTCTCAATTTAATTATCGTTTTGATTTTTAAAAGAATAAATGTTTAAAAGGAAAGATTTAACCCAGTGTCTTATGTGAAAATCAACATTTCCATTGTAATAAATCTTTAAAATCTGAATTTTTTATCATTACATGTTAAAAAATCAAGAAATTTTTTGACACTTCTTAAACAATGATCCACCGTTTTGCAAACAAGTTCTATTATTTATTTATAAGAAAGAAATGTTTTAAAAAATATCAATATTTTGCGAAATTTAATTTAGATAATACTTACTGGGTTTGATTTTTTTCAAATTTTGCTCATGCAATTTAGTTGGAAAATTCAAAAACTGAAAATAGTCGAAAGTATCGTAGACGGCCGGTCAAAGGTAGTGTAAAGGTAGTGCCCGGCCGGAGGGTAGAACTACTTTAATAATTCCTGAAACTCCCTCAAAGGAAAATGCGGTAAAACAGGAGAGAACAAAAGAAAAAATGGTATACAAAAAATCATAATTACTTACACTCGCAAAAAGTCAATAACTTAGGGGAGGGGGAGGAAAAAAACGACTCTTTTGATGTTTTTGCTTCCGAAGGGAAGCATTATTTTTGGTCGATTTTTCGATTTTCTAATTTTCATTGCAAATGATCTAGAATGTCATGAAACGTGAAAAAATGATGTTTTTGAGGTTGCGTCTGTACGTATGTATGTGCAGAATGGCTGTTTTGGGGGTTTATTTTTAGAAATTTTAACATAAATACGGTGAAATTCGCAGATAAAAACTTGAAATTTTTACTGATGATAGCTATGAATAAGCCCCACTTTGTGGCTCCATTTGGGCTCAATCGGTCCAGTAGTTCCTGAGATATTGCCAATTGTTTAAATTTCGTTTTTCAGCTATATCTCCTCAATAAATGCACCGATTTCAACTTTTTTTTTTCAAAATATTCGTCTCGATGATCTCTACCTGAATCATTCATAATACATAGACCAATCACTGCTGAGTCTAGGAATATTGCCGTTAATCGGTTTTTTTGTGAAAAACGTTGTGCGCGCGATAACTCGATAAAAAATGTTAATATCGATTTGAAATTTGGTATGCTTGTAGCTTTTATGACATAGATGGATGGTATTTTGAATGGGCAAAATCGACCGAGCGGTTCGCGAGATATTCAATTTTTTGTAGAAATCCATTTTGGCAAATATCTCCTTAACTATTCGAGGGATTAAATTTTTTTTTTTTTGAAATACTCGTCCCAATGACCTCCATCTGAAGAACCCATAATATATCGAACAATCGCTGTTGAGTCTAGAGATATTGCCGTTAATCTATTTTTTTGCGAAAAACGTTGTGCGCGCGATAACTCGATAAAAAAGGTTGTTGTTGACTTGAAATTTGGTATGTTCGTAGCTTTCATGACATAGACGAATGGTATTTTGAATGGGCAAAATCGACCGAGCGGTTCGCGAGATATTCAATTTTTTGTGGAAACCCATTTTGGCCAATAACTCCTTTACTTCTCGAGGGATTAAATTTTTTTTTTTTTTAAATACTTGTCTCGATGACCTCCATCCAAAGCACCCATAATATATCCAACCAAGATATTCAATTTGTTCTGAAAATTCGTTTTGATGAATATCTTAGGGGAGAGCGGGGCAGAACGATTTTCAAAATCTTCCAAATGCAAAATTTCAAATTTACAAATTTAATTGTAATTGAGCTTCTTACGAATCGATTCCCGAGGGATGAAGTTAGTTAGATAATTGTTTTGAGTATTTGATTGAAAGAAAAAAACATATGTCTTATCGAACTATAATTTGATTTCAATAGTTGATCCAAATTCGGAACGCTATTCCATATGAAAGAAGAAAAGTTGCACTATGGAATACCATCTGGAATGAGAATGATTTTTTTGAATTCGAATGGGACGTGTATTCATCAGCACAGATCAGTCTGTTTTGGAAAATACGAATGAAATCGAGAGAAATAATTGAATCGGAGTAAAACCACATAATTTTACATATGAAATTTTTAAGAGGACGAAATGATTTTATATACTACGGTTGAAATAATAAAAATAAAAAATAGACGATGCACTTCTTCCCTTCGGAAGCTTATAACCAATGTAATTGGTAGCAGAAAAATGAAGACTTTTGACATAACAGTGTGGTGTCACAAGTCTTCTGTCGAATAGGGTCGGTCGCCTGCTTGTTTTAAGTTGTAAATTTTTCTGAACGTTTTTTCCTCATCTATAACAAATTCCCGTACACGTCGGAACTAAACAAATTTGTTGTTTTGAGGCCATTGAGTACCAGTGTTTGAGTACTGATTGGGCTAATCAATCACGTCATAATAATTATCAATTCTCGGTCATTGTGCAATTGATATGTTGATTCGAGGATGACTAAGAATCCGCAATTAATCAATTCTATTCGATTCCACAGACTTCCGGAAGCCGCTTCAACAACATTTGTGTCTGCTGAACGTTCAATGCACCGTTGGCGCAAAAAAAATCGCCCTCCAATACCGACATCCTTATTACAATTCGCTCACATTGTAAACAACGATCCGCAGTGGCATCATTTGAAGCAGCATAGACTAGGAGAATTCACGGTAAACACCGTACCAGTTGGTGACGCCAATCATATCACGGTTATTGGCGATTTGGAGTTTCTACGCACAGTCAACCCCACAACTCTAACAATTGATGCAACATTCAACGTTTGTCCACGGGTTCCAAAACATCACCAGTTCCTTACAATAATGAGGAGGATTACAGATACGGTAAAATGTGTCACATCTCTGTGCTTACTGGAAATTATAAAGAATTATTATCAATTCCATTAATGATTAAATTATATGTAAATGTAACCAACGATTGTTTACAGGAATTTCAAAATAGACTAGTTTATTTCAAATTTTTTAGATGCCTTCATTTAAAAAAACCCTTTGCTACAGTTATATAATCAGGTCCATAATCCCATGTTTTCGATAACACTTTGTAATCTTGGTATCATTCGATTCGAAAAAGACCAGAAATGAATATGTGTGATGACCAAGTTTATGAACGACGTTGATGTATCTGAATGGTTCTAGGATCTACCAATTGCATGGGTGTTTATGGAGAGGAAAAATACATTGGCATATATACAAGTCTTGGAACACTTTACCGCAATGCTAGCACCACACATCCACCCTACAATCATCCACATTGACTTCGAACGTTCCCTGAGGAATGCAATTGAACGTACCTATCCTGATGCAAGAATAGTCTAATGCTATTTCCATTACCTACAGGTGAGATTACAAATGAAGTCAGTACGTGTATTAATAGAATAATATTCTATAATAAATACAATTGTTAAGTGACTGTAGTGGTCACGCTGGTAGCGTACGTATACATGTGAAACTGAAAAATAAAAAATAAGTACAATTGTTTACATCTCAGAGCCTGAGGAAGAGATTGAGCAAAAAAAAGAGTAAAGCTGCAATCACAAAACTAAAAGGTTGGGAACAAGGGAAAATCTTTTATCGGAAACTGATGGCTTTGCCATTGCTACCAGCTGAAGATGGTGGATACGAACAGTGAGACCTGAAAATTTTAATGTTTTCATACTACGCAATCGAGTCTCCAACTCAATCGAGGCATATCATCGCGTTCTTCGCAAAAGAATTGGAACGCATCCATCGATCTGGCAATTCACAGGTTTATTCTCCCATCACTTTAAAAAATTGTTGGAATTATTGAATTTCACGGGCATACCAACCGTTACAGCAATATTTTAATATATATTTTCGAGGAAACGCCCTGAGTAGTAATGAAGAGAATTGAAAGCTTTAGTTTATTATGATGAAAACGAATACTCTATTTTTGTATTATATTGAAAGCGAGTCATTTCCTAAGAGAATATCAAGATATCTTTTTCGTAGGCACATGTGTTATTTACAAACAACGTTCTCTGACCTTTATTCACCTAAAATAACTCATTGTCTACAGAATTTTGTATTTTACAAGAGCTTTACATTATTTAGATGCAATGGAATCAGTTGATCTCTTAATCGTCTCGAGAATGAGTCATCTCAAATAAATAACGAGATACATCTCTTAGATATTTCTGTAGCTACTACAATTTTTATTCACAGAATACACCTGCATATTTGCTTTTATTATGGAATAAACCTTGGTAAATGTAATGAGGGATTCCAGAGACACAAATGTTTTTTTTACGTTTCTCATTCGAAATTAAACTAGTTACCGGAAAAGTCTCTTGATATCTTTACTCAATATTACTCATTATTAATATAAGACATTTTTGAAATTATGAATTTGCAGAATCTCTCAGGAAAGTCCAAGTCGTAACTTGTACTGAGAAGACAGCACTCGCTCGTGGAAAACCAGTGAGACGACCTCAAGCCACAAAATATATCAATCGAGAAAATATATTACAAAGGGCTTGGCAATTATACCGAGAAGGAGCCCTAGACATTGCAGCGTTCCTAGGATGTTCGAATCATTTCCTCCGTGCCTTCAACAACAAATTATTGCTCCATAATGCGCAGCAAGTCGACTACTTCGCTACAATCCAGGAGCACATTGTCGGTTAGTACTCCTACCAAGACACATATGGAATGTTGATAGAAAATTATACATCAAGATCTCTTAATTATAGTAAATAAATGAAATCAATTGGAGAAAAACATCTTTGAATATTCAAGAAGCAGTAGATTCCGGATATCGTTGAAATAAAATTCTAGAGTTCTTTTTAATATACGTCCATCTTTCTTCAGTTCAAAATATTTGTCGAAAAGTCATGAGAAAACTTGATGTACCCATCTCATTCTGGCACCTGTCTACTGATACGTATTTCCTTCTTTCTTTTTTTAATCCGATGTGATTTCCTTCTAGGAATTCCACCCACTGGACATGAAATCCAAGCAGTCAGAGCCGATCAATTAATTGCAGAAATCCACATAAAAAATTTCCCAACTGCAAATGAAATCATTGAAATCTTGTTGTGTAAGGATAAAAATTTTTTACTCTTTTTCCTATCTTTAAGGAACCCTTGACACTGCAGATTCTCCACAGGATTTTTTTATCTCAATAGTTCAAAAGTGGCTAATTTTCCATAGAAGTCCTTCATAGTCACGTATTAAAAAATCGTATAGAAATTTTCTATGCGGATTGAGTATAGAATTTCTATAGGATTTTTGTATATGATATTCGGATATTTCTATACGGATATTTTTTATACAAATTATTTCTATACGATTTCTATAGGTTTGATCCTATACGACCCACTGGCACATGTATAGAAACATTTCGTATGGAGTTGCGACATTTCTCTACGTTTTTCTCTGGAGCCTTTAGACATCTTTCGTATGAAAACACAAATTTATGTATAGAAATAATTCGTATAGAAAATATTCGTATAAAAATATCCGAATATCATATACGGAAATCCTATAGAATTTTTATACGCAAGCCGTATAGAAAATTTCTATACGATTTTTTCATACGTGGTGCTACCTTACAAGTAGTACAAAATTCGCTTTACCACAGTAGAAATTCAAAATAATATGTATTTTATGTTTAATTTAAGAATTGAAGTATGGTCGTTTTTGAATTTTGTTCCTCTTCCATGAGATCCATTTTTATTATTAATTCTACTATATTTTTTATCCGTTATTTCAGTGAGAAGACTAGATGTATCTATCTGTGATTTGTGCAATAATTCAGTCACTGAATATGTTGCATCACCATGCAGACACTGGTTTGGTTGTCAAAATTGTACACTGCTGTACGTTCAGACGTCTCTGGAGGTGAATGCCATTTTGAAGTGTCGGTGGTGTCTCCAGGAGTGTCGTGCATTCAAACGTGTTTATGTGAGTGCAATCTTGCATTCCTTCAATAGAAAATGATTAGTCCACTAAAAAAATCGATGTTTCAGATTACGTGAACATCTCTTCGGGGAAGGGAAATTCTGGAAGGCATGTTCAGGAAAAAGTCTCAAGAATATTCATGCAGTTATCATAAGTACTTCACGGTTCTCACTTATCTTGTACTATTTCTCCCTCATTCAATAAACGGAACAAACATGTATCTCATTTGTTCGATTGGTCAAAAACCCCAATAGATTGAAAATTCCAATAGATTCTTATTCAATAACAAAATATACAATCAACTAATGAATACAACATGAATGAGTAAAATAATGAATATGAACAATTTAATAAATCCTAGTTGTTGATTATTTATGTATAATCCTTGTCAGTACCATATCCTCTATGGCATCGTAATATTTTAGTACATTAGAGTACAAGGGCACAAATTTCGTTTTCAACGAATGTATAGTTTACAGGCCGAGCCGAAGGCGAGGTCTGTACATATATTCGTTGAAAACGAAATTTATTACCTAGTGCTCTATAATATTTTATGTCAAGTCGTGCAAAAGTCGAGTTTTGAGCAGGCTGCGCGAAGCGCAGCGTGCGATAAACTCGACTTATTGCACGGCGCGACATAAAACATTTTTTTTAATAAAAAAAACGTATTTGATCTGTTTATCGAGAACTGTCTTATCGATTACAATTCTCTTAACTCCACCTTAGGAATCGTTTTTATCAACATTTTGCGTCGATAACACGCACATGATTCCTTTTTACCGACCAAAAGACAGATAAAACAGTTTCTCTGTTCCGTGGAAATAATTTTCGTTATTTTACTGCTACGTTGTTATTTGGAAATTTTTCTCGAAAAGAATAAGGGAAGTCATTAATTGTTTATCAATAATAAAAATTTAAGACTACAATATTCAATCAATTACAATTTCAATAGGGCAGATTAATTGATACACTACATTTTCAATCGCGTGCTCAGTCCTCGTGCTGGAACAACGGGAAATCTGGCCTCAAGCCGAGATTGCCAGACCGCCGTATACTTGGCGAACAAATTACATATTTTTCAAAAATAATCAATGTAATCATTAGGAAATGATTTGGAAACATTTGGACACGCTTTTTCATAATTTGGAAACAAATTGTTATTCAGTAATTAATAAAAAACTGTTGGACCGTATACTTGGCAAATATTGGCCGAAATTAATAAAATTTCACTTCAATCGATGTAGAACAAATTGGAAATAATAGTGAGAATGTTTTTTTCATTTGGAAATGTAATATTGCATCGAAAATGAATAAAAAAGGAATGAAGTTATTATTGTTCAGGAGTCACGTGACCGAGTCTTCCCCTTCCCATCACTTAGCCCATTTGCATATAAAAAAAGTGAGGTTATGTCCCTCTCGCGAACCTGAATGTTCCCCTGTCACGTACCTTTAAACAATCTCCTGAAAATTATGAGTAAGTGGTTGAATGAAAAATTGACGACATTTAAAAACAAAATCACTGGACCCCTGATAAAACATGAAAGGATTTATAGAGAGGCAGACAGTGTCGGAGTGTTTCGTTGCTGAAATCTCTAAGCATCAGAAGCCCAAAGCCCCCAGGAAACGAAAATCCATGGAGATGAAATACTAAAAAAAACCCTCCCAATTCCCTAAAATCAGAACTAAAAAAGCTGGCGAAATCTCCGAAAAATGAAGAGACAGATAACAGATAACTGGCAGGAGACGTTCGAGCTCTCCAGTGGACGAAATGGGCTGCCACAAAAGTGCTCGGACGAAAAAGCGAGTCTTTCAGATTTTCGATTCCAGTTGCTGCTAGATCTTGTGTTGATCAGTCAAACAAAGGATTAGGTGACATACGCAGCTATGGAGAGACTCCAAAATTATGGATGTACTCCGGTTCTTAGGAAATTAATTCATCCTGTTAGTTTTTATGAGATGAAGAAAATTATTCAAACCTTCTGAAAAGTTTGGAAAAGTAATGAGCTATTCGATCATTGTGAATAGTTTTCTGAAACTGTTGGTTTTAAAGGGAAATGTTAAAAAANTTTACTCGACTGAGACTCTGACTTGTGGTAGTCTTATCTGGCTGAAGGCCTGAGCTTTGACAGATCCTTTCTGTTTCGCTCTCGATCGTGCTCTGCCGTACCCTGGTGCTTCCAGAGTCCTCGAAACTCATCAAAGTCTCAGTTTGCTGATCTAAGCAATCTCACGGTTTTTCTCACTAACACAGTCTTGTGTCGTCATTGACACAAACTACAACAGTCAAACAGTTCGGTACCCCCGAACTGGACTTGTTGAAAACCGTGGGACTGCTTACCAAAGTGTCCAACTGACACCCTGGAATGGCTGACCATTGTCTGGATGGCAGGAAAGAGAAATCATATTTCTCATTCCTCTCATCCACCATTTATGTGAACATTTCACATAATTATTAACTAAATCGACGTATTGGTCTTTCCCAATACGTCACATGTGTCTTTCATATATTTTGACAACAGGAATATATCATGCTGTTTGGAAATATTTTTGTGAACAAGATTTGATCCTAATTTTTTTCAGCCCGAAGTCCAGTATATTCAGAAAAATCTGTAAAGTCGAATTAGCTGAAAACATTCGACGTTCACTGAGAATTGAAGTTTTTGTAGCCAATAGTTCGCGGGTCTAAGTTTTCACACAAAAGTCACCTGAGAGAATGCCGAGATTGAACTCCGCCTCTCAGGAGCTTCAGAGAGAAACGAAGAGTTTTGGGAATGCCCATGGCTCCAAGAGCTGACAAAAAATGCAGTCATCCGCAACGCCCTCCCGATCGGGGGAGAGTATTGATGGTTATAGGATGTAAGTATTTTTTATAATAATTATATAGTAGATTCCGTCATTGAGGCCATGAAAAGCTTTTCTGGCGTTTGTGTGTTTGCAGTCCGAAGCAAAGTCAAAGATTACAACAAAATCGCCAGAAAAGTTGTCTGCCACCGACTGACGAACTTTTTTTTCGTTATCTAGTCCGTGATATGAGGCTTCATGCCCGTCTGAATAAATTTTTTTTTGTAGATTACCGAGGTGTTTTCACTGTGATCAATATCTTCTACATGAGGAGGAATAGCAAAATTTTCATGATTTTTTTTAGCTCACATTTCGCTCTACAAAAAAAATTCCATGGAATTTTTCTTAACTATCCCCACTTACGAGATATCCACCGACACCGGACCCTAGATGCGTAGTAATTATCCTAGTTTGCCGATTCACTACAAATTTCCAATTGAAAAAATGCTCAATGGGCACATTATTCGAAATTCCTTGAAGTTTTTTTTCTTTCTCAATTAGAATTTCATAATCATTCAATTTATTACTTTTAAACTTGAATAGACAATGGAGGAAAGGAAATCAAATGAAATGTTGATATTTAAGTATCATCAATAGTGTAGCTAACTGATAATGAGAGGAATATTTTTCTAATTGTGAATGCCGAATGATGCGAAATAAGCAGCCATTAACGAGGCTTTCCGGGTAATAGGAAAGTCTCCAATGAATTCAAAGTCTTCTGCTCACGCTTGCTACAGTTAGTGGGGACGATATTCCAGGATTATTTGAGTAGCTGCAATAGATATTTACGAATTTTCATGGCCATTCTTTGTCGAAAACATTTATAGATGATTAAATTATGTTGATAATCAGTAACTTTAGGAGAACATATAATCGATTTTTCTTTCATTTTTTCTAATTCATCAACCTTCAGAAATATTTGAATTATCTCGATTACGAGTGATTTTAGAACAAAATGTCAGAAGACCTTTTTTATAGAAAATGTAATGACCTCAGCTATGTGAAGTTGGCATCGAAGTTTGGAAAATCGACTTTTTTTTTGTTGGTCTGGATTGTACTCATTGAGTACTTGAATGTACCCTATGCACTTTTTTTTGTACCCGCTTACTTTAGACCTGAAGCAGGGGGATTCAATGTGTGTTGAATCGAATATTCTATTTTCTACAATTCTATTCTGCATGTTAAAAATCGGGTTATAATCGATAATAGTTCTAGGATATCTGGAATGAAGAGTTGAGAATTTAACATACGGATATTTGATTGTACTAATCAGGAAAAAAATGTACATGAGCTGGGGGTCATTGAAAATGTGTGTACTAGCTCGAAAATAATGGCAGAGCGTTTGTACTTAGACATAACCCCATCATGAGCCCTTTAAATTACACCTCGACGTTAGTACTTTCACGAGTCTGGGTCTACAGACATGTACAATCAGTATACTTGATTGTACTAATCAGGAAAAAAATGTACATGAGCTGGGGGTCACTGGAAATATGTGTACTAGCTCGAAAATAAGAGGAGAGCGTTTGTACTTGGAAATAATTCAATTATGAGGCCTTTGAATCACACCTCGACGTTAGTACTCTCACGGCTCCGAGTCTACAGATATGTACAATCAGTATACTGATTGTACTAATCAGGAAAAAAATGTACATGAGCTGGGGGTCACTGGAAATGTGTGTACTAGCTCGAAAATAATGGCAGAGCGTTTGTACTTAAACGCTCATGAGCCCTTTAAATTACACCTCGACGTTAGTACTTTCACGAGTCTAGGGTCTATAGACATGTACAATCAGTATACTTGATTGTACTAATCAGAAAAAAAATGTACATGAGCTGGGGGTCATTGAAAATGTGTGTACTAGCTCGAAAATAATGGCAGAGCATTTGTACTTAGACATAACCCCATCATGAGCCCTTTAAATTATCCCTCGACGTTAGTACTTTCGCGAGTCTGGGTCTGTAGTCATGTACAATCAGTATACTTGATTGTACTAATCAGAAAAAAAATGTACATGAGCTGGGGGTCATTGAAAATGTTTTTTCTAACTCGAAAATAATGGCAGAGCGTTTGTACTTAGACATAAACCCATCATGAGCCCTTTAAATTACACCTCGACGTTAGTACTTTCACGAGTCTGGGTCTACAGACATGTACAATCAGTATACTTGATTGTACTAATCAGGAAAAAAATCTACATGAGCTGGGTGTCACTGGAAATGTGTGTACTAGCTCGAAAATAATAGGAGAGCGTTTGTACTTGGAAATAATTCAATTATGAGGCCTTTGAATTAGACCTCGACGTTAGTACTCTCACGGCTCCGAGTCTACAGACATGTACAATCAGTATACTTGATTGTACTAATCAGGAAAAAAATGTATATGAGCTGGGTGTCACTGGAAAGGTGTGTACTAGCTCGAAAATAATAGTACTTGGAAATAATTCAATTACGAGGCCTT